ATTTTTGCTATGGTCTCTTTAGTTTCTTTTGCATTTATTTCTGCCCTAATTTTTAAGATTTCTTTCCTTCTACTAACCCTGGGGTTCTTCATTTCTTCCTTCTCTAGTTGCTTTAGGTATAGAGTTAGGTTATTTATTTGACTTTTTTCTTGTTTCTTGAGGTAGGCCTCTAATGCTATGAATCTTCCCCTTTAGATAATTTTATTGTAATAATGTTAAATTTCCTAAATTCAAAAACTGTAGTAGATTATATAAATATAATATTTATAATACTATCATTATTCTTAGAAAACACATACTGATAGATTAAGGATCATGGTATATGCAACCTTCTTTAAAAGAGTTCAGAAGAAATTAACTAAGTAAGTAATATATATACTATTTTATGTGCATGTATACATATGTAAGCACATAATATATATATTTATACAGAAAGAGAATACATCAAAGGAGCTGGGGTTTTTTTAGGAGAATATACTCTGTAGCAGCAGTATATGTGTGGCTCAGTCGTGTCTGATTCTTTGCAACTTCATGGACTGTAGCCCACCAGGCTCCTCTGTCCATGGGATTTTCCAGGCAAGAATATCGGAGGGGGTTGCCATTTCCCCCTCCAGGGTATCTTCCTGACCCAGGGATGGAACACAAGTCTCTTGCATGTCCTGCATTGGCTGGTAGATTCTTTACCACTGCGTCACTTGGGAAGCCCATTAGGAGCGGCAGTAGGATACTATTATTGACCCAACTTCCTGGCCCCTAGAATACATAGCCTCAGACTGAGAAGACAAGAGGAATCAGAAATCAAATTGCCAACATCTGCTAGATCACTGAAAAGGCAAGAGAGTTCCAGAAAAACATCAACTCTGCTTTACTGACTATGCCAAAACCTTTTACTGTATGGATGACAACAAACTGTGGAAAATTCTTAAAGAGATGGGAATACCAGACCACCTGACCTGTCTCTTAAGAAATCTGTATGGAGGTCAAGAAGCAACAGTTAGAACTGGACATGGAACAGACTGGTTCCAAATAGGGAAAGGAGTACGTTCAGGTTGTATACTGTCACCCTGTTTATTTAACTTATATGCAGAGTATATCAGGCAAAATGCCGGGCTGAATGAGGCACAAGCTGGAATCAAGATTGCCGGGAGAAACAGCAATAACCTCAGATATGCAGATGACACCACACTTATGGCAGAAAGTGAAGAACTAAAGAGCCTCTTAATGAAAGTGAAAGAAGAGTAAAAAAGCTGGCTTAAAACTCAACATTTGGAAAACTAAGATCATGGCATCCAGTCCCATCACTTCATGGCAAAGAGATAGGGAAACAATGGAAACAGTGAGAGACTTTATATTGGGGAGGGGGGCTCCAAAATCACTGCAGATGGTGACTACAGCCATGAAATTAAAAGATGCTTGCTCCTTGGAAGAAAAGCTATGACCAACTTAGACAGTATATTAAAAACCAAAACCAGAGACATTACTTTGCCAACAAAAGTTCATCTAGTCAAAGCTATGGTTTTTCCAGTAGTCATGTATGGATGTGAAGAGTTGGATTATAAAGAAAGCTGAGCACCGAAGAATTGATGCTTTTGAACTATGGTGTTGGAGAAGGCTCTTGAGAGTCCCTTGGACTGCAAGGAGATCCAACCAGTCCATCCGAAAGGAGATCAGTCCTGGGTGTTCATTGGAAGGACTGATGCTGAAGCTGAAACTCCAACACTTTGGCCACCTGATGAGAAGAACTGACTCATTGAATAAGACCCTGATGCTGGGAAAGATTGAAGGTGAGAGGAGAAAGGGATGACAGAGGATGGATGGTTGGATGGCATCACCAACTCGATGGACATGAGTCTGAGTAAGCTTGGGGAGTTGGTGATGGACAGGGAAATCCGACATGCTGCAGTCCATGGGGTCACAAAGAGTTAGGCACGACTGAGCAAATGAACTAAGAAGGCAGCAGAGGGAATGGTACTTCAGGGGATATTCACTACCTATCAGTTAAGGCACAGAGAAAACATTCAGAAGTCACGGATATTCAGTTGTTTATTGACAAACCAGAGGAAGGGTTTTGGACAGAGGGAAAAGGCTGGAACAGATTTACTGAACAGTGAGAAGATTAGAGTATGGGTGATAAAAATGAGTTGAGAGCAAAAGTGTAAAAAAGAAATTCAAAGCAGGTGAGAATCAATACTGGTAATCTCAAGGTACACATTCAGTTTTAGCCCTAAGAGTCACTAATGCCCTGCTGGGTTTTATCTATTGGAGTTTCTAGAGGCCATCTACTAGGAAACTTTTCCAACTCCTTCCTGCTAGGTGGCTATACATACATGTTTATCTGTGATCCTATGAAAACACCCTACATCTATCATTTAATATACATTAAATAAACTGTTGGTTGAATAAATTAATGACTCATATATAACCTGAGTAGATTAGATGTGAGAAAATAAACTGGAAAACAAATTAATAAAGGGATAACATAGCAGAGTTCATTTCTTAAAAAAAGATTTTGAAGTATTTAAAATAAGGAGTTGCCTTAAGAGTCAAAGAATACAAAATGGAGAATTATTTCTAGTTGATTTTGGCAAAAGAAATATGCTTACTGTACAACAAGCTGCTGGCACACAGTTCCATTTTCTGTTATCAGTTCATTCAGTTTTAATTCAAGGTGAACTTTACCCTATAAAGACAAAAAAAGAAATCACAAACTGAGAAGTCTATTTTACTGACAAAATATTAAGGTATATTCTTTTTTTTTAAACTTTTTATTTTGTATTGGTGTATAGCAGATAAACAATGGTGTGATAGTGTCAGGGGAACAGCAAAGGGACTCAGCCATACATAAACGTGTATCCATTCTCCCCTATATCCCTTCCCATCCAGGCTGGCACATAACACTGAACAGAGTTCCATGTGCTATAAAGGTATGTTCTTTTTCAAATGGCAGTCATAATATTTAGTTATCCACTAACTAAATTTTAGTGATCCTTAGCACATGGTTTTGTCTACATCAAGTACGTGTTAAATGACTTACAACCAACAATACAGATCAAAATCTGAGGGATAAGTAGCCAAATGCTTATATCAAACATGGTATTCAAATATAAGAATTCTATGCCCTATTCAACAAATACTTATTTATCTCAATTATCATGAATTAGAAAGATAACACACATTTTAGGAAAGTTTGAATTTAGCAAATTCAAGACACAGAATGCTTTTTCCAGAAAAGTATACAGATAGTATCATATAAGTCTAAACAATAAAAGTAACTTAAAACTGGTAAGATTCAATTTGTCACACTTACTTTTCTCAAATAATTAAGATTATGGAATATTTACTATATTTTAGGAGATACTGTAGGGGTGGGTAGGAATCTATGTTAAGTATAAAACAAAGTCATTGGGAATTCCCTGTTAGGCCAGTGGTTAAGACTCTATGCTCTCTCTGCTCAGGGCCCAGGTTCAATCCCTGGTCAGGAACTAAGATGCCCAAAGCCATGTGGTGAGGGGAAAAAAAAAAAAAAGTAAAACAAAGTCACTGCTTGTAAGAACTTACAATCTAGTTGGATAGACAATAAACAGGCCAAGAACACTGATGAAAACATAGGATGCTGAGAACGAAAATAAAGGGTTACCTTCTTAAAAAGCCATTAATAAATGGACTTTAAAAAAATTTAGTAGTGTAAATTTAAAGCAAACTATCAACTTCTCAAGAAACAAAGGCTTAGGAACAATATAATCCAGGGCTTGATTATTTCTACCCTGCCACCAGTGATGAGCAATTCTAAACTGGTTATGAGCAATTCAGAACTGGTTAAGAATTGGTGCTAGATTACCTCCACCCAGCTGACACGACAAACTGTCACATTGCCAAGTGAAGATTTCAAGGGTGTGATATCTAGAGACAAATGACGTAAGTAATTTCATCAGAGGATGGAAAGTTTATTATCTAATTACTATTCCTCTTTGAAACAAGCCTTTAGACATATGCAGAAATCTAACCTGAATCAGCCTATTTTTAACGGGCATATTTTATACAAGAGTGATTCTGAGGTTCACTAACTATAAAGCTCAAGGGATTGAGCAGTAAGTACTGATGTATCTCAACATAAAAGTCTGCATAAGAAAGTTAAGCTCTAAAAAACAAAGGCATCAGTTGCCATAAAATTAGAAGTTAGGTGGAACTGGAACTAGATCTAGCAAACCTTCCACTAAAAACCTAGACAGAAATTATTTATAAAATCATATGCAATTTGTAAAATAGGTATTTCATCAGGTATTTAATATTCACAACCCTACTACTCAAGAGTGACCTCGAGAAGGTCCATGATACGTAGTAATTTATGACTCAACTAAAATTCTGAATCCTATGTGCTGTCACACCAGCACCTGTGTCACCTGACTCATGAGTGAGCCTAGCCAACTGCATCAACATTTACATCTCAAAGCAGTTGTGCCATTTTAACATGTATGTATTTTATGGTAGAAACTGTATATTAACAAGGCACTCCCAAATGCTTCTCAGAAAATGTCTAGGATCTACTCTGTTTTAAAAACAATAAAAACTATTAATAAAGAATAGGAAAAAAGTATAATTTTACTGACAAAAAATGTATCATGCACTGTATCAAATGTATTAAACACTGTATCAAGTCAAGACTAGAAATAAAAAAGATATTTAATGGGGTTCTACCAGGAATCATTGCCACTGAGTCAGAGCCTACCTAATATGTTCATTACTTCCACTGTCTGTTAAACAGAACATTCTTTTGGTATTAGTCAACAATAACATAATAACGTATTAACCTGGTCAAAAAAAGAGTGGAGAGAGAACAAGCAGACACAAGATACGTACTACTAGGGTGGAACACTAAAATTAAAAAGCATTATGAGTTAAATTAAGAAAACTAATTTCTAAACTGTAAGGTACTACCCTCATTATATACTTTAACATGGAAATATATATATATGATACTTAGTAAAAGAAAGAAACCACAAAATAGGGTATATAATTCAAAGTTAATTTGTAAAAATAAAACATACTACATGTATTGCTATATAAAATCACTACAAAGCTCCCTACCAAAACACTGATCAAACTGTGGTTGGCAGGATCTCAAGTTTTTTCTTTTCTGTTCACCTAGATTTTTAAAGTTTCTACTACCAATGTGTTTAGCTTTCTAGTAAAAAAAAAAAAAAGAAGAACAAAAAGTTTTAAAAATTATTTGAAGGTACTTTTTAGTGTTAGAAACCCACATTTGAAATCACTTAAGAAAAATCTGGTATTCCCTACTATATTCACATGCAAGTTCAGTTTTACTTACACTTGTCACCATTTTATAAATCTGGAGAGTATTAAAACAAGTTTATTTGGGGCTGGGAGGGGGGAGGTTTCAATAAAACTTGAGTTCAGCAAAACAGTTTCCAGTTTCCCTTGAAGCCAGGGACAGTGGCTAAGGATAGCCATAAGATACAGTTCTGGCCAATGAAGTGTGTAGAGCAACCAAAGAAGCTGCTGAAAGGCTTCTAACTTCAGCAGTGGCCTGAGAGGCTAAAAAGCTTACTCAAAACTTTCTATAATCTCATGCTGGAAATGATAAAAGTGGGAGCCCAGGGCCCACCAAGATAGAGAGGCCCTTGTAAACACCCAGGCTTTCTGTTGGAATCTTTGAAGGCCTATGCTTGAGTAGGAAAGGTGAACAACATAGATCAGCCTTACAATGAGTGAAATCTAGCCTAGAATCAGCCAAATCCCTAACTGGATTAAAGTGATCAGCCTCTAGCCTAACCACATGCCAAAAGCAAAATCTTTTCTGGAGGGAGAAAAAAATATCCAGGGCTTACAAGTTATCTCCAAAATATTTCGTATTTCAATATCTAGCATTCCATCAAAAATTATGAAACATGCCATTAGACCAAACACCAACCCCTCCTCCACGAAACCTAAAAAATCAAAACCTGACAAAGAGGATCACATTCATAGGAGACATAGACAATGGATTTAACTGACAGAGTTTGGTTTTGGGTTTTTTTGAGATAGAAAGTGAAATGAAAAACTCAGCAAATACTCGGAAATGATAAAATATGTCAAATGAAAAACTTAGAATTAAGCAATAAAATAACCAAAATGAACATGTATTTAACCACAGATTAGCCATAGCTGAAAAGTGAACTGGTGACATAGATGATAGATTAGTCAGACAGGGAGAGCGTATAAGAGACATGTGAGACATAGTAAAATGGTCTATCATTCATGTAACTGAAGCCCCAGAAGAGAAGAGAAGGAACAAACAAGGAGGGGAGAAATGGAAAGATAACTGCCTGGAATTTTCCTAAACTGAAGACAGACATAAAGAGGCACAGTAGCCAAGAGCCCCTAGGAACACCCAAGTAGGATAGATATGAAGAAAACCACATGTAGGCAGGGCACAGTAAAACTGATGAAAACAGAAGATAAAAAATCCTAAGGTGACTAAAAAAAACAGGGACGGTACTCACAAAGAAGTACTTGTAAGATGCTGACAAGGAACTATAAATGTGATAAATGTGCAGTGTGATTTGATCCACAATAGCTTTCTTATTATCCATCCTCATAAGGAAGATTCAATAACAAAATAATATACCCTTTATATGTGAGGAAATAATGGGAGATCAAATATCTGACCACCTTCTATAATCTCATTTAAAAATCAAATTCTTAGAGGGCATTATTCTATATATATTTCAGAGCACTAATCATGGTAGGTTGATATAAACAACTATATCACATTAATATGTATAAGCAGCATACTTAGAAGCTTATATTACTCTGGTACTATCTGAGGGTTTATATTCTAACTTTATTTCAGATATTATTACAAAAATTTCACATAGAAAAATCTGGGATTATTTTAATTTTATAGTACCATATAGTAGATATTATGTGAATTTTTGCATACAGTTTGGGAAGGTCAAATGAATACAGGTATTTGGGCAAAACACAATACACGCACTTAAAAACTGCATGAGTCTAAACATTTTTTTAGTTTTCAATCACAAAACACTAAATTTTAACAATAATCTCACAGAACTCAGTAATTTTCAACTGATGAAAAATTTTCTTCATCTGAAGGAAACTTCTAGATTTCTGATCAATGTTCTTTTATATAATAATTAATTCTATAAATCATTTTGGACACAGCTGCCTATCTGATGAAAAAACAAAGGCTGTAGTTAATTATCTTTTATTTACAGATGGATTTTTCTCTTTAAAAATTATTTATTATGATCTATACGACTCATTCCTTTATTAGTCCATATTTACAAATTTACAGATGCAGTTTTTAAAATACCTACTCATTATGTCTTAACTGGATATGTTTAAAATCCTAATGTATGCATTATTCACTATAATCACTGTACTTTTAAATTTTTATTTATTTTTTAAAATGTTTTCTATAAATTCATAACAAAAAACATACACATAGTTGCAAATAAGAATACAGTGTTATTGTATTTTTTTTTAATGCTTGCTTTAAATAGATAGGGCAGAAGCCATATTACCACCCCAACACACACCAAAAAAAACTTACAAAACAATCAATAACTTATGGCATGATCTAGAAATTCAAGATAAGCTTGTTGGTAAAGACTTATTAACTAAGCAATTACAGCAAAAGGATGTGACTGACACTGCATCTGGATTTACTGCTTGTACAAGTTGTGTTGAGACAAACACCTTTAATTAATGAGAATACCGATTTGGTTTAATCAGTCATATCAATATAAAAACATACTTTTTAATCACAGTGTCTGAAATATAAAGAAAGGAAAAATACTTAAAGAGTTTGTGGTGATTGTGTTTGTATTGATATGGCATTTTTTTAGCTGTCAACAAGAAATTAGAGGGGGTTTATGGAGAGAAGCAGAAGGGAGAGATATGTCATCAGACATATAAAAAGAATATAATGGAATCTCATCATTAAACAACTTTTTTCTCTTTTCCCTTCATTTGCAAAGTGAATAGTTATTAAAACTAGAGGGGAAATAGAAAATATTAACTATTCACTTTACAAAATAAAAGGGAAAGGAAAAAAACACTATTTAAACAATAAGCACCTATACTCAATTAGCACAATGAGCACATGAGGAGGGAGAAATGCATCAGTTGGTTTCATTCCTATGTCCCTTCTGCAGTACCTACTGCTGTATTGAGAGAAAGTCTATTTTTTATTTGCCATGGCACCAAATGCAAGCCAGCTATTTTATGCAGTGGTCAACCAGAAACAAATAAACCACCTAATATTTTAGTGTACTTTATGAGAAATTAAAAACAATATTTTCATGTACTTTATGAGAAATCTCAAAAACAATTTTGACTATGTGAACTATATCTGGTCTGTTACAGTAAGCACCTGCAGCTCCTTTGCAACTGCCTGACACCTTTCTAGCTCTCACTGATCATATTAAAGTTCCCATAATCATACTCCATGGAGCTCCCTAGGAACTTTCTAACATCTTTCCCTTTTTCTTTGAGCTAATTTGGTACACTTCTGTGCCTTATACTCAGATTTTCCTAAGCGATTCTCCTAATAATCTGTTGGAGTCTTTTTCTGACCAACAGTACAGAAAAGTGAAAGGCAGTAAAACAGTGTGGTTAGGAATTTAAGAATCAGATAAGCTCTTTATAGGAATCATGGCTCCATCACTTAGTAATTTTGTAACTTTGCAGACATCATTTAACCTCTATGAATCCATTTTCCACATCTGTAAAATGGACATAATGCTACGTACAACTCATAATGCTAATCTGAAGATTAAGTTAAATAATATATATTAAGTCCTTAGTACTGTGCATGGTATATGCTGTTCTAATTATTAATGGTAATTATTAGCTTAAATTTCTGCTGAACTCAACCTATCTCATCACTTTCTCCTAAGGCTCCACCAATTGCTCTTATTTCCATGACATTTTTATTAAATTTTATAAAACTTATGCAAGAAACAAATTTATTAACAAAATAGAATTTGTATGAATCAGGCTGCTTTTCTATCTTTCTCAGACTTCACAAGGTTAATTTAACATTCTAAGATCTGTTTTGGGGCCAAACAATATTTCCAATGTGCACATTAACGTGATCAGTGTTATGCATCCCTCCCACCCACTGAAGGACTCTTCCTTCTAAAATTTATTTTAAATAGTGAGTGGATTTTACAAAGTAACTATCATTTAAGACAAAAGAACTGTAAAGGTTAATAACTCATGGTCATGAAAATAATTCATAGCAAATAAAACATATAACAATACCTAACAGTTAAATGCTATTTGCAGATTTTCATGTTTTGGACATTCCATCAAATATACATCATCAAATAAAAAGTCTGTTTCCCAGTACTGATCTCTAATACCATCTCCAATAATTATATAAAGAGTATTCTATAGAGATAACTAACTTTGGAGAGCTGCATCCCTTAAATCTTTTAACAAATCACATTAGTCATAAGAAAAACACTGGACTTTAATAAACTATATTTTAAAATAATCTTCAAACTTCCTTTTAGACCAATTCTCAAAGTCTTTTCCACATCTTTCTTTTTTGTTACAACTATTGAAGAGAAAAATAAGCACTTCAAAACTTTCTGGTAAAGGCATATCAGGGAAATGAACACCTGACTGACTAGTGGTGAACAGACATTTTACATTTGTATAGCTATTAACAGCTTTTGAAATACTCTTAAAGGTATTTCACTTAATTCTCACAATCATTTGAGTCAACACGGTAACTTTCATTCCCATTTTACAGAAATAAAATTCAAGGTCAGTAAAATAACCACATATGAAAATTAGGACCTAAATTTTTAGACTTCAAGTTTAAAACCCTTTCCACATCATCACATTGCCTCTCACCTGGATCATTTACCAAATAGTCTAATTGGTATAAGAATAAAAGTTATTGTCAAATGTAAAGAAAAGAACATTAAAATGGGATAGAGTGAGAAAAGGAGAAGTTTCAATTCTATTTTATACTTAAGAAGGGGTTTTGGCAAACAAATACTCAATTTTTTGAGAATTTAATCAAACAGAATGCTTGAGAGGTTATGAGGAAACAGAGACACAGGCACTTTATTTGCAAACATCTGTGGGTGTGCGTGCAGTACTTTTTTCTTGCCTTAAACTTCAGTTTGAGTCACAGTGGCAAATTCTAACTTCTTTTAAGAGAGGAAGAATTCTGCTTGCAGTTATGCCCTTGGGAAACAATTTCACAATCCTTACCATATTTTATAAATAAGCAGGGTTACCAAAAAAAAAGAAAAAGGATTCCCTTTAGATAGAAATAACAATTTCGAAGAGCAGCTCACACTTTTCAGAAACAAATACAAAGTTAAGCTACACAGTTAAACATATTTCTTTACTCACACACAGAATCTTAAGATCTCTCATTTTGGCAAGAGGAAAGATCTCTTATTTAAAGCAAGAGCTTTGAAATGAGTAATGATATCCTTTCAAATAAAAAGAAAGGTGAACAACAGGAAACATGGTGGGTATGAAGGTTCTCCATGGTGGGCTTAGGCACAGTTTGAATGAATAACACTGGCTCAAGTCTAGTTTATTCCAGAGTAAAGGGAGCATCCTGATCAGAACAGATGAAATCACACACTTCTAAGGATTCTTCTTCTCTGAGTTAACAAAAGATATCTTTTTCGATAAAACTTTTTCCTCATCTAAAAAAATTACTAATTTGCTACTGTGATTCAAAAAAAAGAACTAAGGCAGGGAAACAAATGTTCTCCTAATATAAACCCCCCAAACACATACACTATTCTTGATTTCATGTAGCAAGGCATTTTCTTCCAGTTATATGTTACCCAGAGAGGTATAATGCGTGGTGCCAGAATTTAAAGTAAGTATGACAAGCTCTCTCTGTATGAACAAGTATAATCAGTTCATTTTTCACTCCTTTTCTGTGTGTGACAATCTCTTCCATCACTTATTCCTTAACATTTACCTGAACCTCTGAATTGGAATCAACAGGCTGTAGCGAAAACCAAGTTTCTTTGCCACTGTGGTTACACAAGTCTTCTTTTTTGATGGCTACTTTTCCTGTAATAAATAAGTAAACAATGAGGAAACATATTTTCTATAATCATCAACACCATTACATATAATACTTTTTAAAAAAACATTTTAAAATAATTTTTATCTGCTGATACCAAGATCCATTTTTATAAAGCAGTTTCTAGTTTTAAAGAATGAAAAGGTGCTTCATTTTCCTCTACCGCTTGTCTGACTCTTCTCTGAGCCATTCTGAATTAGAGGATTAGACCAAAACCCAGTTGTATTTATTTATTTTTTTTTCCATTTATTTTTATTAGTTGGAGGCTAATTACTTTACATCATTACAGTCGTTTTTGTTATACATTGAAATGAATTAGCCATGGATTTACATGTATTCCCCATCCCAGTCCCCCCTCCCACCTCCCTCTCCACCCGATCCCTCTGGGTCTTCCCAGTGCACCAGGCCCGAGCACTTGTCTCATGTATCCAACCTGGGCTGGTTATCTGTTTCACCCTAGATAATATACATGTTTTGATGGTGTTGTCTTGAAACATCCCACCCTCGCCTTCTCCCAGAGTCCACAAGTCTGTTCTATACATCTGAGTCTCTTTTCCTGTTTTGCATATAGGGTTATCGTTACCATCTTTCTAAAGTCCATATATATATGTGTTAGTAGTTGTATTTATATGCAATTGCACTTTTTAGTACTTATTCAGATTCACATCTTTACCCAGAGTAAAAGCAATGTACAATGATTGTACAATGATAGTGCAAACTAATCCTCCCAATTCTTTAATACTATGAATAAACCATGTGTTCTGTCTAAATAGACATATCTGCACTTAATAAGAGTTTATAAGCTCCAATTAAGAGAACAGAAAATAACAATATCATATGGTCATTAATAATTTTTAAAACTAACTTGAAATTATGAGATTAAAATAATTTTACTGAAAATTTGGTTTTATCAAAACACTGTAAACACTGCTTATGTTGCTTCAATGCATTTAAAAAAAAAAAAATCAAAGCAGTTCCCTAAAGAGTTTCTATGTCTCAGAAACAGACACAGAGCAATGAACAAAGTAATATGAGAGGAAGAAACAGAAATGTTCTTATTATAATGAAGTATTTGCCATGTTGGTTACAAAGCATTTCCTTCCTCAATTCAAGTTTTAAGAAGTAGATAGTTTTGCATATGACTGACAATTTATTCCAACATTCAACACAAAAACTTCAACAAAGGATGTACGTTAAAGTAAAAAATAGCTCACTTTCTTTGATTTTACCAAATAAAAATTTTCATTTTAAGTGCCCAAATTATACTTTATATCCTTTCATTTATGACCTAGCTTGGTCTTTCAGTTCAACATCTGAAAACTTATGAAAAACAGTAAAAAAAAAAAAAAAAAAGTTTTCTGTCAAGATATATCAATTTTAGTGTACCAAGGGGAAAGAAAAGATGTAACAAGAAAGCAAACACAGAAAAACTCTTTAAAATTTTATTTTGGAATTAGATTAGTAGTAATGGCTGCACAACTCTGTGAATATACTTAAAACCATGGCACTGCATGCTTTAAAAGGGTAAGTTCTATGGCATGTATACAGCACATCAATAAAGCTATTAATTAAAAAGTAATCATATAGACTCTATTTGACAATTTCCGGGATTTTTAGTTTTATACATAATTTATGAATATGTATGTAAGTGTACATATGTGTGCATGTACAATACATCCAAACATCACTAAAGCAAGCCCTCAACTTAAAAAAACGTTTTTTAGGGGCTTCCCCAGTGGCTCAGCAGTAAAGAATCCACCTGCAATGCAGGAGCCACAGGAAGACACAGGTTTGATCCCTAGATTGGGAAGATCCCCTGGAGGAGGGCACAGCAACCCACGCCCATTAAAAAAAATTGTTTTTGGGAAATGTACCGGTTCGATGGATTCCTTTACTCATTCAACAAATCATCACAACGACACTGTATTTTAAATGGTAAGCTGATTTCCAGAATTCTTCAACCAAAGTCTACTTAACCAATAATTCGTCTAAAAACTAGTCGAAATCCAAGAAATACCTGTTCTATTTATGACTGCACAAGACAGATCACTGGAAACACATCTTTGTTACAAGTGCCTAACCAAAAGTTAGTTCAAAGGTTAAAAAAAAAAGCACAGAAGCAAGGACCCTCTTCTCTTCATGTCTAAAGTGTCCATGGTATTCACTGTCACAAAAGAATTGAAAGGTTCGTATCCTCTGTGAGAAAAATCCGTTTCTGACTAGTTGTATAAATAAGCCATTTGTTGTTGAGAAAAACCTGCAATTTTATTGCCAGCTCTTACTCATATCAAGTTCTTTGTAAGATATCAATTTGTAAAATGTAAAGATTTGGTTGCAAGAGACTAGTCAGTCCAAAGAAGCAGGGAAGAGCACATGATCTCAACAAGTCAAAGAAACTGACAAAGCACGACAGAGAAAAACAAAGAAAAATGTTTGAAGTCATTAGCTATTAGGATACCAGCCAACACACTCAGCATTTTATCGGGCAATATATCACTTGAAAAAGAAATGTCATCAGCCCTACGGAATCAAACAGGATAGAGATGAGTTATGAAGGGAAGGAGGGAGGGTAAATAAATAAATGAATGAATGAGAAAGGTTGGAGGGTAAAGAAGGGAACTCAGAGAAGGAAGAAAGGAACAGGGAGGGGAGGAACAAGTTTCTGAAATACAAGTAAGACCCCAAAAATAGTTCCTCATTCTTGTTGTGAGCTATCCTTAGTTAAACAGGTCATATCGCAGCTATTAAATACAAAATGTAGGCAGCCTGATTATAGTGGAATGAGCACCGAACTGAAAAGAAAAGCCAAAATTTATTGAATATCTACCAGGGAGTAAACATTCTTACACGTTTTGTTTAATCTTCGTTAACAATCTTGGGGGTAGACAGTATATTACAGATGAGGAAAGCTGAATGATACTAAAAACCTGCATACTAACGAGTGCTAGAGTCCGATTTCAAAAACCAAGGTACTCCTGTTCAGGTTTCTTCCAACAGACACTAATTCTCAGCCGACTGTCAATTCTGTTACTTATTAGCTGTGTGATCCTGGGTGATTTATTTAAACCCTACATCTCATTTACCTCCTCTGTAACAACTTTCAGTTCCAATGATCTTAAAGACTTATTCTGTGCATCCTTATGGTCTCTAACAGTGTTTTAATGTTTATTATTTTAAACAAGTGAAGTGAAGTCGCTCAGTCGTGTCCAACTCTTTGCAACCCAACGGCCTGTAGCCTACCAGGCTTCTCCGTCCATGGAATTTTCCAGGCAAAAATACTGGAGTGGGTTACCATTTCCTTCTCCAGGAGATCTTCCCAACCCAGGGATTGAACCCGGGTCTCCCGCATTGTAGGCAAATGCTTTACCGTCAGAGCCAAAACAAAGGTAACTCATTATTTCACTAGCTATGAGATCAGCAACATCAAAAAAAAAAAAAATAACCCCCAATGCTTCACACAAGATATGTCTGAAAACCATGTTTCTTGACACAACTTTGAGGAACTCGGCTCTTTGAAAATAACTTTTATCCAGTCCTATTCTCTTTCTGACAGCTAATTTATGTCTTTAGGAAACACTGTTTACTTAAGGAAGTATATGGTAAAATCATGTATAAATTATGGAGTAGTCATTTCAACAGTTTGCTTAAACTGGGAAAAATCTCTCAGGACTAGAACTTTTGATTAAACATTTGCTTGGCTCTAAAACTCAAAAAAATAAAATAAAAATAAACAAGTAAATAATTAACTGGTCAACCCAGGAACCAAATACTAAACACATTATTTAAAGGTATTATTTCATTTCCCACTATACTGACAAACTCATAGACAGAAAAAGTTTAGACCACATATACACACATATATACACCAGATGCTATATTAGTTCCTTAAAATCAGACAAGGAGAGGAAACACAAAGAGAAATGAAGGAACTGTGGACACACAAACCATCTTAGTTGGTCTCTAAGTAAAAAAAATTTATATATACTCTTAGCTTTCCAGTACCACTTCTAGGCAGCATTTTCTTACCATCCATAAAATCCGTGTTATACTAGGGTCCCATTTTTAGATACAACATATTCTTAAAAATTTCATCCTGATACAGATCACCAACTGGCAAAATCTTGATGGCCTTGTTCCTGCTTGATTACTAGTAGAAATGCTGAAAGGGTAGATAAATGTAGGGATAAGTGTGACTGCCTATGTAAGATGAAAAAGAACCAGAGGACTGAACAAACTCTGGCAGTATCAATAACAGCAATTCAGTCAAAGGCAACACTTAGGTACCTTAGTGTACAGGGTTTAGAATGATTCCTTTTGGTCTCTGTGGCAGACTGGTATATCAATGGCTTTCAAAAAATCATACTTCCCCGGTCTATGCCATTGTGTAGTCTCTAGCACTGACTCTGGGTTTGGCTATGCCACTTACTTTTGCCAATGGATACCAGCAAATGTAATGCAAGTATTATTAAGCATCTGCAGTAGGACTTGCCCTCAACATCATGTGGAGGGGGAGCACATGGCCAGTATCAGCCATCAGACACATGGATCAGATCACTCAGCCCAGTCAATTTCCCAAGTAACTGCATATTAGTGACTCCAGGTAAGACCAGGAGAAGAACCAGTCCACTGAGCGTGGCCCAAACTGATGATCTGCAGGAACATGAGCAAACAGAGGATTGATAAATTAAGCCACTAAGTATTAGGGTGATTTGTTATGTAGCAATAGACAACTGATACAGTTCCTATGCAAACAGACATAAAAGTGTAGCCTTAAGCTATTTAAACAGTAGGGTTGACCTAAGAGCTAAGTAAGTGCCAGCAGAAATGACAATTCTAATGTTGAAAAACACATTAGCTGTCTTAAACCCAACCTCATTTAAAAGGTGAACGAGGCCTAAGAAGGTAGAGTGACTTGCTTAAGGTCACAAAGCCAGTGAGTGATAGAGTCATAAATGGAATTCAGGTCTCTAATATCCTAGTGAAATTCTCTTCCAACAGTCTGAATCAAGAGGTATGATACACAAGTTAACCAGTCTACCATGGTTCAATTGTTTGGGCCTAGATCCCTCGGAAAACTAAAATAATTAGAAAATACACATTAGGAGGTAAAATGTATATGTTTAATATTACTAGGACCCTTACTGGAAATGAAATTTTTTCTTAACAAAAAGTTGTTCTCTTCTCTTCTTCTCCCTTTTTAAGGGAAGAAGACACTATATCATAGGACAACACATCACACAATAAGACTTTCAAAGCCTTACTTTTATAATTTCCTATCTTTTTGTAACATGGTTCCTAGGTCTCAAGTTTTCAATTAATCTATAATCAGTTTTCATCCTAACTGTTCTGCATATAAAGGTTTCTAATACAAAAAACTATGCCCCATATTAATAACAGTTATTACTTCCAGGAAGGGGGCTGGGGGGGGGTGTCAGTGACCAAGATTGTCTGTAATAACTAAAAATTTTCTTTTACAAAAAGAAAAATATTTTTTTTAAAAGAATAACAACTTTTCAGGAAGATGGCAGACTAGTATCTCAAAATAACATATAATCAGGGTTTAGATGCCAGTTTCTTTTTTTTAGTTAATTATTTATTTATTTTTGACTGCACCGGATCTTTTGCTGCACACAGGCTTTCTTTCACTTTAGTTGCAGCAAGCAGGGGCTACTCTCTAGTTATGGAGCACAGGCTTCTCGGTGCATTGGCTTCTGTAGTGAAGCTGGAGCACGGGCTATAGAGTCTGTGGGCTCAGCAGTTGTGGCACACATGCTTAGCTGCTCTGAGGCATGTGGGATCTTCCAGGACCAGGGATCGAACCCACGTCCCCTGCACTGGCAGGCAGGTTCTTAATAAAAAACACTGGACCATCAGGAAAGTTCTCCATGTGTTATCCAACAATTAAAAATAAAAAACAAACAAGCTCTTAAAGCTATCCAACCAGTACACATTCTTAGATCTTCTTAAGTTTAAAAGATGGTTCTCTCAACTCTAGCTCAAATTTAATTCCCAGAAAATGCTATGGTACTATTTAGCTTACAACTGGGCAAAGACTTATAAAACAAGTGAAAATATCAAGATTACCTTCCAATTTTAAAGGCTACATATGTACTTTGTTTACTTTAATAAAAGAAAAAACAAAAATTTCTACATTTAGTAAAGATTTTTTTTTTTTTTTACAGTTCCTATAGCAAGTTATGACCTTCTGATACCACTCCACAAAGGACTGATTTTTACTTTAAAAAATAAATAAATAAATAAGCAATTTTTGGAAGTAATTATAAACCTCAATTAAAGGCCTTTTCAAGAAATATGTATGATGACTATGAGTAAATAATGAAAATTACAAAACATTTTCTTCAAAAGTCACAGTAGTCAATCAAAGATACACACTCTCTCAAGTGTTGCTAGTAATCACCAAAAGCCTCTATCAAATCTTGTCGTTCCATTAAGAGATCTCCTTGCTTTCCCTCCTCTCTCTCTCTTCCAATCTTCCTGATATACTTTATCAATCTTCACTAAGGCTTCATTTCCCCTGTAAGCCTTCAGAAGTGCTCCTAGGGCAATTTCATTCATTCCAACAGAGGCTTCAAGTTTCACATAAGATTAGATTCAATATCACATCTCCAAACATTAAATTCAGATCTTTTCTGTGAGCTTCAGATCTGTGTTTCCAACAATCAACAAACATGTCCACCAAGATGCTCCCCAGGTAATGCAAGTTTAACCTGTTTGTAACCAAAGTCATCTTCTCCCTTTCTCATCCTGAATGCTCTTTATCTCAGTTAATGACAGCTATTAAAACAAGATTGTTTTTAACTCTTTCCTTTCTTATATCCCCCCTTTATCTCCTCAGTCCCTAAATCCCATGTGAAGCTACCCCTGTGAAGGGCATTCCCTCATCTGCATTTCCACTGCCATTGCCCTATTCATCTCATCTGATAACAGCCTCCTTGATGGCCTCCCTGCCTCTAATCTCTCTCTATTCTAAAACATAAACCATACACGATATATTTAAAGCAGATTTTTCATACTTTAAAAATATGCGTATATAGAGTTATATATATGTACACACATTTTAAATATGTAATCTATGGACACTGAGTTTATTATTGTTCAGACCACAGGAAGCTGTTAAAATACACAAGTATATTCGTATATACAGTTACACATAATTTTTAAAAGGTTCCTGATTCTTTAAAGGTTAAACTGCGTACAGAGTAAAGTCCAAATTTCTTAGCATGGCTTTAAGTGTCCATCACAACTTGGTCCAATTTACATTCCCAGATTCACCTTCTACCAACCTTGGCCTAAGTAATTTATATATATCAGCAGATACACCACAAATATGACTCACTTTTTCTTCTCTGCTTCTGCTAATCCCTATTATCTTGAAACTTCTTCCTTTTCCTACCTAGGTAGTTTCTGTTAATTCTCCACCAAACAAAATTAACTCTTCTTTCCTCTATGCTTCCAAATACTTTGTTCCTACCTCCAGCACAGACCCTATTAAATATATTAGTATTATTCAGCCAGATAACCTGGGAGCAACTTGAAATTTATTCACCTTAATATTCCCACCTTCTGTACACCACATAGACAAGTGTATAAGGATGTAGCCTTGGGATAATCCATAATTAAGGATTTGCTGGACAGAGCAAAGTCTACATACAAGAAGCAGTCAGAAGGAAGATAATCAGGAAAACACAATGTTATTAAGCTGCCTTTTCCTTGACTTTCAACAAGTTGAATAAGCAATCCAAAGAGTCTAATGTGACACAGAGGCAGATGAGGGCTGAAAACTATGAAATGCCTTCTGCAACGGGGGAAAAGTATTTGCTATGCATATAGTTGACAAAAGTAAACATATTTATCAAATATGGAGGCATAAGAGTAAATAAAATTCCACCCAAAAGAAAAATAAGCAAAAGAACTAATTCACAGAAGAAAAATGTAAAAGACCAATAAACATACAAAAATTCCTCAAATTCACTAGTAATCAGAAAATACAGGTTAAAATCAAGTATTACTTTCACCGATCAAGTCAGAAAAAAAAAATTTTCAATATCCAAGAACAAATTTTCAATGATAATTTCCAAGGTACACTGAAATGATTATGCCCACATCGTTTGAGGGAATGTAAATTAAGTGAAAGAGGAAAAAAAAACTTGATTAACCATTCCGTTTTATTAATATAAATGCATGAAGTAAAGAATGAGAAGACACAAATCATTAACTGTAGCTATTCTTAGGCAGAATCATTACAAGTCCCTTAAAACATGTAATAATTTTAGAATTAAGAAAAAATATTAGTTTTTAAAAAGGTATTTTTAAATGATTGTGGTAAACTTCAAAAATGAAGTCAGATTACAGTGATTTAAAAATAAATAAGTAGTAAGCAGAAAGATATAAATCACTTGTTCAGGAGTTCAATAGCAAAAGCAGAAATAAATTAGATGGTAGTCAAGAGGTCAAAGTAAAATAAAGCTTAATCATTTAAACTGCAGGTGATGAGCATATCTGAAACTGGAAAGGAGAGATGGAGATGATGAAATTCAGGACACTAAAGAGAGAGTAATGCATGTAAATTAAAGACCTCTACCTGTTAGGGGCTTCCCTGGTAGCTCAGACGGTAAAGCGTCTGCCTACAATGTGGGAGACCCGGGTTCGATCCCTGGACTGGGAAGATCCCCTGGAGAAGGAAATGGCAACCCACTCCAGTATTCTTGCCTGGAAAATCCCATGGACTGAGAGGCTACAGTCCATGGGGTCGCAAAGAGTCGGACACAACTGAGTGACTGCACTGACTGACCTGTTATTCAAAGACAGTGGTGCAAAAGCCATAAATGTGACACATATGTGGTCAGTTAGTTTTGTCCGAGTTGATGCTCACAGATCGTACCTCAGGAAGTTATTTAAGAAACAGAGTTACTGGTCACCAATACAGCCAGAGAGAAAACATGTGATCAGATTAATGTGAATTATTACTTCTATTAGAAAAACTTCAAAAACAGATGTTCTTTGGTAGGGATCAAATACTGTGATCTTTGTATAAAAACATTCTTTGAATCATTCAACAATTCTTGTACTGATCATTCACCAAATTTAAGGCACTCTGGGAGTGACAGTCTCTGCCTTCATAAATATATATATTCAACTAAAGCATCTAGACATTAAACAACAAACTGATGAACAAGTATAATGAATACTACAGCAAAGGGACCCATCAGGCACTATAGAAATATACTGCATCATGACTAGAGGGAAAACGGTCATGTCAATTCCCTGACGAAGTGTTGCCCAGGTTGAGCATACAAATTAAAAATCAGATCGGCAAATCAACGTGAAGTCTAGAGGGAAAGATTAGAAGTTTGAGAGTATGTTATTCTGTTGTTTTCAATATACTTAGAAAAAGAATGAATATAAACACCAATGTTGTGATTAAAAGATAATTATGAATGGTACATACCTATACGGAGGTCTCTTTGTAAAACATTCTTATCATAAACATAGAAAGACAAATACTGGAAAGTTCTTGGAATCTCAAAATAAAATTCTTCACTAAAAAATGGGCTAGAGAGAAAAGAGGGAACGCTCATTAAATTTAAACTCAACAGTGTCCTCATATATTATTTTATTTTCAATAAAATAAAATTGCAGATTAAACCATAAAGAAAAACTTCAAGAATTCAAAAATAATTCTCTATATTAAGTTTCAATTAAGCCCTGTACAAATTTCTGAATTTCTGAAAGGACCTTGACTGCCAGGTTGGGCTCGGAACCAACAGATTTGCTGGAGTCCTATGGACAGAAGATCCAGTAATTGCCTGAGGTCATGCTCACCTTAAAGTGGACACAGTTGAGAGCTGAGGACAATGTCATTCACACCATTATCTCAAAATATGTAAATCACAATAATATATAATACCTAAAATGAATGTGGTCATGTAAAATGTTATTAAAACGTATTTTGAAAAACTAAATTAGGTTATTTTTAATCAGCTTTACTGAGGTATAAATCATATAACATCTAACTTAAAGTACAGAGGTTACTAACTTGTGATAAATTTACAAACCTGTGTGGCATCCATCCCAATCAAAATATAGGAACATTCCAACTCCCCCACAAAGTTCCCTGTTGTTTCTCTGCAGTTACTCCATCATACCTGCCACAGGCAACCAGTGATCTGATTTCCGTCATTAAAGATCTACTGTAAGATTTCCTATAAATGGAATCAAATAATATGTACACTTGCGTCCAGCTTCTTTCACTCAGTTTAACACCTATGAGATTTTTTGCCGTTTTGCTGCATATATCTTTAGTTCTTTCCTCTAACTGTTGGACAATAGAATATTGAATTGCTGAATATTGACTGTTGAATATTCCACAGTCTATTCTCCTAGTGATGTCATCTGAGTTGTTTCCAGTTCAGGCTATCAAAAATAAAGCGGCTATGAACATTTTTATAAAGCTCTTTAATGCTTTCAGTTCTTTTAGAGAGGTAACTAAAAATAGAATTGCTGAGTTAAAAGGTAGGTGAATTTTTAATTTACGAGAAACTGTCAGACTGTTTCCAATGTGGCTATACTATTTCACATTCCTACCAGCAATGTATAACAGCTCCAGCTGTTCCACATCATTGTCAACTTTTGCTACTGCAAGTTTTTTAAATTAGCTACTCTACAACATTATAATTCAACTATATGTCAATTAAAAGTCATTTTGAAAAAAAATTAGCTATTCCAGTGAATGACACGATAAATGCTTACACCTGTGTAATCTCTACCCTAATCAAGATAAAGAACATTTCCATCTCCCTAGAAAGTTCCCATGTGTACTCATTCCCTCCATACTGTCACGGGAACCAGTGATCTGATTTCCATCATGACACATTACATTCAAGACTGTAGAGACACAGAAATATACAAACTGTATTTCCCTTATGAATAAGGATGCTGAATATCTTTTCATGTGCTTCTTGCCCATTTGTGTATCTTATTTTAGGAAATGTTGGAGTCTCCCCCACATGTTTTAAAAGGTTTGTCCGTTTTCTGATCGGGTTTTTTTTTTAAAATAAATTCTGGACACAAGTCCCTTGTCAGAACATTTTCTACCAGGTGTGGCCTGCCATTTCATTTTCTTGACAGTATCTGTTAAAGGGAAGAAGGCTCTGATTTTGACAAAATCCAATTTATTATTTCTCCTCTTTTATGACTGATGCTTTTGGCACCTAAGTAAAGAAATCTTTGCCTTCCCCCAAGTTGCTAAGATTTTCTTCTACGAAGCAGCTTCTTATAAGGTCACTGTAAGAATGCTATTTTGATATTTAAATTCTCCTATGAAGACATGAATCTCTGAAACACTAGTCAACATCCTTTCTCAAGAGTACCTCTTTCCTGGTAATGTTTAAAGAATTAAAAAGATATTTTTTAAATGTCACCATAAAATACAATCTCTTCAGGATGTCACAACTTAAAAAGAGGATGAAATGCAAACTAAATGTCTCTTGTGCTGTGCTGTGCTTAGTCGCTCAGTCGTGTCCGACTCTTTGCCATCCCATGGACTGTAGCCCTCCAGGCTCCTCTGTCCGTGGGGACTCTCCAGATAAGAATACTGGAGTGGGTTGCCATGCCCTCCTCCAGGGGATCTTCCCAACCCAGGAATCAAACAGGAGTCTCTGGCATTGCAGGCGGATTCTTGACCAGCTGAGCTACCAGGGAAGCCCAAATGACTCTTAAAGAAGTCATTTCTGACCCTATCCAGCAAACAGCTGACTCAGCTTCTCAGTTATTATAAAACCTGTTCAACTTCTGTCAATATATTTTTCACTTCAAATTTTTCACTACAACTGCACTTCAAATTGCAACCAAAATAAACTTTTAAAAATTGGTCTGTCAAAATAGTCTTTTTAGTTAGTCTCAACATAGAAATTAATATAAAACAACTGTTAGGCAAAGATGTGTAGGTCTTTTTCTCCTTTGCTTCATTTTATAAAAAATTATAAAATTGAGAATTGTATCATGTATCCACTCTCAAATATTATTTTTAAAGCACATTCTAAAGCCAAATAAGAAAAAGATGAAAATTATTCACTAAGTCACCTGTATCACTGTATCATCACAATCTCAACAACCTAATCCCCACATCTGGGTGCCCACATCTTTATTTTATAAATAAGTAAGTTAACTAATCAATCCATTTGAGAAAAGTTTTCAACAAGGTTGCAATGACAAGACTTATACTCTACTGTTATCACTGATCTATGATCATGCATATCACTCCCGAGGAAATTCCTGGTGTGGGGAAGAAAAGCACAAGGTACAAGAAGTATTGCTGCTCAGTTTGTTTATAGATCTCCTACTTCTCAAAAGGATTCAGACAGAGATTTAGGAGCTATGGATTCCATATGTGACTCCTACTTACCTGCTATGAAAATTCTATAACCAGACTACCTATAAAAACTGTAATATTCAGAACCCATAACAGATCTAAATGATATCTACTGTCTTTTGACTTAACAGCTTATCACAACATTCAGAAAAGTAGAAACACTGAAATGAAAGCAAGGTGAGCAAGGGTTCATACCACAGATTCTTTCACCCTGTTTTGCAAGAATGCTAGGAGGCACCTAGAATCCAAAAAACATCTAGTCTAATTGTATTGAAATGACCTAAGGTAACCACTGACAGCCTTAAAACAGCTTCCAAGTGGCTATGAATCTAGAAAAATAACTTAAGGTGGATAGGTAGCTCAGCCTGCAATGCTAGAGACCCCAGTTTGATTTCTGGGTCAGAAAGATCCCCTGGCAAAGGGATAGGCTACCCACTCCAGTATCCTTGAGCTTCCCTGGTGGCTCAGTCAGTAAAGAATCTACCTGCGATGCGGAGACCTGGGTTCGATCTCTGGGTTGGGAAGATACCCTGGAGAAGGGCATGGCAACCTACTCCAGTACTCTTGCCTTGGAGAATCCCCATGGACAGAGGAGCCTGGTGGGCTACAGTCCATGGGGTGGCAAAAAGTTGGGCATGACTGAGCGAGTAAGCAACAGCAGCAGCAAAAATAATTGGTTTTATCATTTCCCAACACCAACAGCTGGAAAGGCAAGGGTTTAAAACAAAAAGCAAGCTAATTTTAGCTTCTCATTTGCGAGGCTATGTAGTAGAAACTAAAACAAGTATTCAACTTATTGAAAATTACTAGTTTTATATATCACTGATTTTTATGTGATATGTAATGAACATACATTAGGAAACAAACAGTTTCAGGTTCCAATCTCAGTTTTGCTTCTAACTTCCCTTATTAAGTGTGCAAATTATTCAGTCTCTTGGTGACTCAGTTTCATCATTTAGGTAAATAACAGAATTCCAATAAAACAGGGCAGGTGATTTATGATTAAAGATGTGAAGTATATTCAAATCTCCTTGGGCTACTAAATATTTCATCCATCGTATGTTCATTCCAACAACTCCTAATTCCCTTATCTTAACTTTTATCTCTGGACAAGACTGTATCCTTCCAGCACAGCTCTGCACTATAATTATATCCACAAACACTATTAAAGGGAAGATGTGGCACATTTCAATTTTATGAATTAGAATTTACTATGATACTCCTGCAGAGTTACCACACTTCCAAAAAATGAGAAATCTACCTAAGAGCTTGTTCCCTTACAATGCACTACTTAAGTGACTTGTATGAACGTTAAGGGGTAATTTATTCTCAAGAGAAATAAAATTATGATGCACTTTGAGAAAGTCCAAATAAGTGGGCAAAATTTAGCCTAGAGAAAAAAACTGAGGTATTGGTGGTTGTTTTCAAAAACTTCAAAGGCTATCATGTGAAAGATTGATTAAACTTGTTCCCCATATATCTAAGGGACAGAATTAGGAACAATTAAAAGGAAGATACATTTTTGAGGCAATGAAAAGCCACATGAAAGCAAGTACTGTGTCCATCTTGTTCTCGTGGCTGTATGAATAAATAGCGCCCAGCAAGTTCTTGGCATACAGTAGGTTTTCCTTTTGATAGACATTAATCAACTAAATCTAAGAGCTTTGCAAGAGTCAGAATAGTTCTAAGACCTAACAGGCTGCTTAGGAGGCAGTGAACTCCTTGGTCACTGGAATATTAAGCAAATGCCAGACGCCTACTTGTCAAGAGTAACTGTCAGGAGGAACTAAGCAGAAGGGTGCTCAGTCCAGCTCAGTGAACATCAGGGCTCCTCCAGACTCTGGGATTCTGTAATTCTAAAAACAAATTCAGAAACTACAAGGAAAGTAAAAGTTCCAGATGAAGAAAGACTTCTTGATGATAACAGTCAGGAAAACATATAAAAGTTATCATTTAGTATATATCATTTTAGTGATAACTTACTAATTTTTTACAAACCTTAAAGATTTTTCAACAACTTGGGTACGATAAACTTCTTCCTGGTCCAAATTTATGGTGCAGAAACAATCTCTCATTTTGTTGGGTCCAAGATATGGCAATAAATTTTTCGCTTCACCTGTTGGCACAAAAATTAAAACTGGTGTTAAATATCACCAGCTGTTTCGTGCTAAACCTTATATGGGATGCATTAAATGAAAAAGAACATATAAGATACAGCACAGAAAATAATATTAGTGATTACAGAAAGATAATAAACTTGGTCTAAAATAGTCTGGTGAGATGGAAGGGAGGAGCTGTGTGTAAACGGGCACGTGAGATCATGTTGTATCACTGGATCCCTGGTCCCAGGAAAGAGCAATGCCCCTAACTTGTGCTCTCATCCCATCCCACCGGCACCACCCCAAGGACTTGCCTCCACAACTAATCCCTCTTTCCTGTATCATTAATTGTCCTCTCTACTGGATCATTACCATCAGCTCATAAATAAACTCTGGTCTTTCCCAATTGTAAAAACGGCACAAAAAAGAAAAAAAATCTCCTTTGATTCCACCTCCCCCCGCCCATGACATCATTCCATTTCTAGACTCCCTTTCACAGCAAAACTTCTCAAAAGCAAACATCTACAGTCACTGTTTCTAATTCCGCACCTTCCATTCATTCTTCCATCCATGGAGCTTTTAACTCCATGATGACAATGAAGCTTCTCTAGGCAAGGTCACCAATGCCTTTCATATTGCCAAACCCAATGACATTTCTCTGTCCTCATCATATCTGATCTGGCAGCACTGTTTAATATAAGTGAAGGCTAACATCTCTCCTTAAAACTCATTTTTTTCTTGGCTTCCACAACACAGTATTTCTGGCTTTCTTCCTACATCACTGGCCCTCTGATGACTTCTTTCCCTCCTCACCTCTAAATGTTGCAGTGCTTCAGGGCTCAGCTCTGGGCCACCTTCTCTTCTTTCCCTAAGCAAATTCCTTCAGTATATGGTGTTAACGCCCATGCCTCTCAGAGGCCTGAGGTCATTTCCAGGCCTGATTTCTCCTCCTCAACACTAGAATATTCAACTGCCCCTTCGAATATCCAGTAGAGTTCTCAAGTTTTATAAGTCCCGGACAAACAATCTGATTTACCCCCCCAAAAAACCCACTGTTTTCCCCAGTCTACCACCATCTTCCTCTCTTTCTCTCACCTGCTCCCCATACTTCCCACTCCCACATCTAGTTCATCAGTAAATCCAGCAGAACTCCATAATAAATCCCAAATGAAATCACTTCTCCTTGCCTTCATCAGTATAATCCTACAATCCATTCTTCATCAAGGAGTGTGATCTTTTAAACACAACATTCAGATCAATCACTCCCCTACTCCAATACCATCTGACTTCACTGGAGCTTCCTCAATGGCTGAGAGGGTTAAGAATCCACCAGCAATTCAGGAGATGCAGGTTTGCTCCCTGGGTTGGGAAGATCCCCTGGAGGAGGAAACGGCAACCCACACCAGCATTCTTGCCTGAAAAATCTTGTGGACAGGGTCACAAAGAATCAGAGAGAGATTCTTTCTGAGCAACTAAACAGAGAACAGAAGTCAGTCCATTTCTAAATTCCCTTGGTCCTACCCAGCCCCACCCGACTGTCCTCTCTTTGACCTCTTCTCCTCCCACTCTCCCCAGTGTTCACCCTCTTCCCATTCATCAACCATGTCAAGCTTGTTCAAGCTTAGGACCTCTGTCTGGAGTCCTCTAATCCATCTTCGTATGGCTGTCTCTTCCTCTCATTCAGGTCTCAGTGCAAATGCCACTTCCTCAGAGAAACCCCTCTGTACTGTTCTATCTATAATAAATAATCCTGCTACTATATTCTATTTCTCTGTTTTCTTGATAGCATTTACAACTATCTGAAACTCTTCATTTTTATGTCTGATTCCCTCATTCTTAGGGAGTTCTTAGCTACCTCATTCAAGGCCTGAGAACTTAACTGATCTTCAGGATCTCAAATAGTGACTGTCAACTATTGAGAAATATGTGCTGAATGAATATTAAAGAATCAGTTAAGTCTAGTTTTGAAGTTCTTGTGAGAAGCGGGTGCTGAAATCAGACACCAGTGTACTAAATTAGGAAAAAAAGGTGGTAGGCATTAGGGAAAGAGCATTTCCCTGAGAATCATGAAACTAAGCTTTCCATATTACCTTTGGTACTAAGTGGCCAAATGGCTTCAGACAAACCTAGGAAGAACAAGTTTTCCTGACAAAAGTCTGGGCTGGATAAACTCAGGTGTCTTTCTGCTTACCAACTTTAAAACCAAAGACCATTTGAACCAATTTATTTTAAAGAAGTCTATCAGAAACTTAAGTACCTGTGAAAAACTCAATACACAAATGATTTTTTAAAATTAAAATTAGAAAAATCAGGGAAAAGTTCCTCAGGGCCATCTGGGAAGCTGTCTCTCTGGCTTAAGTCCTGAGTAAGTCCACTGAATAAAACATTAATTAAAAGTAAAATTAAGGAAAATTAGAAAAATCAATGGAAGAGCACCAGTAAGTACTGTTATTTAGTTCATCACTGACAGATTAGAAAAAAAATCAAGTTACCATGTCACAGAATAAACATATTCATTTCAAGTCAAGATGAAGGAATCTAATCTTTTAAACGACCCCTGAATTGCCCAATATGGGTTGGCCTTTACAAATTCACTAGTTTCCTAAAAGGCAAAAATAATGTATCTGAATTTGTATCCATCCATTCTCCTCTTCCTCAGAAGATTACATGTCCATCCCTATTATCCACAGCTCATCCCTCTACCTGTGTTCTCTCTTCCCCGTTTCCTTCCTCTCACTCTAGGACACTGCCCCACAGTTTCATTTTCATTATTTTCGACCTTCTCCTTTAAGTCTTTCCTTTTTTGCCATCTCCCCTCTGTACAATCCAGAGGGTTTGAGGGTTTGTTTTTTTTTTTCAGGAGAAAATCCACCTAGGTCACTATAAAGGGCTTGCAATGTAAACAAATTTGGAATTAAATCATAATAAACATGCTCCATATCTAATAAGGGAATCTGGAATACTAAAATCACTGCCCTTGAACATGTTGCTATTTCATTCACACAAGCGCAACTTGAGAAACTACACTGTATAAATGTGCACGTATTCCGCCACCCACATTTTTAAGAGGGAAACGGGATTATTTTCTCTGCAGAATCCAATGAAAGTGACATTATTAGATATTTACTTAGAATAAGCAAAAATTCAAATTCTACAGAATACATAAAATATAAAATGCACTCAACATCACTTCCTAGAAAAGTTGTTATAATCTTTGAATATCTGTCACTGCTGTTCAAAATAAAGTAAAATCATCTAATTAAGGCTAGATCACCAATCCATCACGCTAATATGTTAAGTCAGCTTTCAAGTCTTTAAACTGTACCTCCAAACTACAGCAGTAACTAACTGACATTAATCAAAATAATTAATTGCCACATTATTTTAAAAAATCAAAAGTGAAGTAACTAATGGTTAGAGAATTCACAAAAATAATGTAGCACTTCATACATCTCTAAACAAAAAGATTATTTTAACAGCACACTCTTTATATTAAGCTACACAAAAAGAAATGAGGAACTTGAGATTATACCTGTCCTGCATATGATATTTTCATAGGGCCTCACTAGTTCTAGTAAATTATTGTATACAAACAAAAAACTACTGCTCCTTAAAAGGCAAGCATCTGGAAAACTTATTCTATAATCTCTGCTCCAATTCTTCCCTACTCACAGCCTGAATCTGCCATTTGGCTTCTGAACCTATTTCTTTACTATAACTCCCAAGCACACTAATAATATTTGTTGTTGTTTAGTCACTAAATCATGTCCGACTCTTTGCCACTGAGCCACCTGGGAAGCTCTACTAATTACTGTGTGTGTGGGATGTGTGTGCTCAGTCGCTCAGTTGGGTCCAACTCTTTGTGACTCCATGGACTGTAGCCTACCAGGCTCCTCTGTCCATGGGAGTTCCCAGACAAGAATACGAGTGGGGTGCCATTTCCTCCCCCAGGGGATCTTCTTGACCCAGGGATTGAACCCACAACTCCCACATTGGCAGCAGATTCTTTACCGCTGAGCCAACTCTGTGGTAATAATGTCAGGAAACACTGGGCATACAAAGACCATTAAATTCATCATACAGGTGGAGAACCAATTTCAGCTATTTTTTAAATGTTTCATTATAAAACAATAAAAATATACTAAAATACAAACACTTGTAAGCTTCTCAACATTATTTCATGGTATTACTTGCAATCTTTCTCAATTTATCTGCAGCCTATTTGGTGATGGCTGGCCTTCAGGAAAATCAGGGTCTGTATCTGTGGTAGATATGGTAGGTCAGTATGACTTCCTGTACTGCAGAGACTAGAAAGCTAAAAACTACATTTCCCATTGTATATTCTTGCCTCCTTTGTTGAAGATAAGGTGTCCGTAGGTATGTGGATTTACCTCTGGTCTTTCTATTTTGTTCCATTGATCTATATTTCTGTCTTTGTGCCAGTACCATAGTGTCTTGATGACTATGGCTTTGTAGTAGAGCCTGAAGTCAGGCAGGTTGATTCCTCCAGTTCCATTCTTCTTCCTTAAGATTGCTCTGGCTAATCGAGGTTTTTTGTATTTCCATACAAATTGTGAAATTATTTGTTCTAGTTCTGTGAAAAATACTGTTGGTAGTTTGATAGGGATTGCATTGAATCTATAGATTGCTTTGGGTAGTATACTCATTTTCACAATATTGATTCTTCCAATCCATGAACACGGTATATTTCTCCATCTATTTGTGTCCTCTGATTTCTTTCATCAGTGTTTTATAGTTTTCTATGCATAGGTCTTTTGTTTCTTTAGGTAGATATACTCCTAAGTATTTTATTCTTTTTGTTGCAATGGTGAATGGTATTGTTTCCGTAATTTCTCTTTCTGTTTTCTCATTGTTAGTGTATAGGAAAGCAAGCCTCTCATGCAGTTAGGGTTGTGGCTATGATTTAAATTCCATCAATTAGATGCACTCCAGAAATTTGGAGGACAAAAGACAATGGAGGTGGTATTTAGGTTGCTTCTTCTAGTAAGCACCGTCA